TCTCCGCGAAGCTACACGCTGTCTGCCATAGCCGGCTCAATGCCCTTGATGTATTGACAAAGGTATTTCCAGCCACTCCATTGTTTCAATTCGTTGTTTCTGCATCAGGCTTAAACAGGTCTGGAGTCTTCACACGTGTGGGCCATGTTGCTCTGGCCTGATTCACTCTCAATCTCTCTCCAAAGCCAATGAAGTCTGTCCGCCTTGCGCTGATGTATGGCACGGACGGGTGAAAGGACTGTGTAATCCTCTTTGGTTCACCGCCCTCCTCTTCAAGCTCCAAGCCCGCGTAGGTCAACAGGCTGCTGAAGTTCCAAGTTGCACGCAACTCACAAAGTCTATCAGCCTCTGTGTCGCTGAGAAGCTCCTCAACTTTTGCAATAGATTTCCAGCGAGCCGGGGCAATGACGACCGACTCCTTCACCTCACCTGTTCCTATTCCTCCTTCGTCACGCTCTTCTACAGCAGGACTGAAGCCCGAACAGCTGAGTCATTTCGAGCCCGTCGTCTCCCCACGTAGTCCTCTGTCTCAATCACCACACTCTGAGCAACCGCGCTTGAAGGCTGGTAGTGGCACACCTCTTGGCTCCACGAACCCTCTGCTCCTGACAGGCGCGCAAAGAGTAGGTGCTCCACCAACCAAATCCCAATGTTCTGGGACGCCCTGGATCGTGTATGCCTGACCGGCTTCGTGGCGCTGCTTATGGTGCGGACCGTGGGGTAGCAGAGGCGACGCTGACCAGCGCTCCGCTACCATGCGAAGCAGAAGCACCTTTTGCTCACACGCTTGGGCCTAAAGTGCCCAAGGCACACTTCGTGATGTGTGTGTACTATGCTTGGTTGCTACATGTGGATCACTCTTTCATTCTGTCAGACTTAAAAAAGACTTGAAGCCAACTGGAACTCTCTGCCAGATGGCATTCGGACGCCCAAAGAAGAAAAGGCTCCCATTGTGTTCCATAAAGGAATGGGCATCAATGACGCCTTGTCAGTGGCAAGGCAAAAATTTGTTGGCGGCAAGGCTGTCCAAGAATGTTCACTCAGCCTGGAGGCACAGAGCCAAAGGATTGTGAATCGGCTCGCATCAGGATCCTTCGAAGTCAAGGAAGTCAAACGGAAGAGCCTTAAAAGAAAACGAAGAATTGGCTCACTGACCGCAGTATTCCAAGTTTCTGTCCTCTCAGGTGTTCCGGAAGAAAAGTACAGGTGTGGGCCGTAGACCTGAAACGTGCAGAGTGGACTTGCAATGGCCTCCAACCTAGTAGCGTCCTTGCTCCTAGTAGCGATGCCCTTTGTTCCTAGTAGCTTCTTGCTCCTAGTAAGGCCAGGAGCCCCTAGTAGCGTCGTTGTTCCTAATAGCGATGGCCTCCAACCTAGCGATGGCATCCAACCCAATAGCCCAGCTTGCGCTCTATTTTCACATTTGTTCGTTTGGGCTGCCCTGCAGCATGGCCAGAACCGATCGGCACGGCTCCACCAACCTGGAGTAGCTTCAAGAAAGAAACCAAACTGATCAAAGAAAGCCTGTTTAATGTCGGCTTTTCCGAAGCAGCCTTTGCGGAACATGTTCAAAGTCTGGGGGGCAAAGCTACTAGTAACAAAAAGCTACTAGGGGCTCCTGGCCGTACTACTAGTAACAAAAAGCTACTAGCAGTTGTGAAGCCAAGAAGCTTCGAAGCAAAGCGACTTCTCAGGCCCAAATCCCGTTGGGTGGAACCCTCTGCGCTACGTTCCATGATGTGGAAATGAATAGCAATGTCCTCCAACCTAAAAGCAATTTTCTCTACCTCAATAGCGATGGATAATCCGGAGCATCAAATCAATCAAAATTGTATTTTTGAGATCCTTCTCAAAAAGCAATTAAAGGAACGGAATGTAGGAACAGGATATAGAACAACAATGAACAACATGTAATTAAGAAACATACTTCGATCGGTATAGCATTGGCTCGCTTTTGTCTTTTTTCTGTATGGAAACTTGGGTGCGAGGAAGGTCACCACAATATTATCTGCAATTCTTCGTTGGTTATATTGGTTGTGGTGAATGCACAGCAAAAGCAAAAGAATTCTGTTTCCATGTTCTAGCTGATTCTCCTCTCAGCGAGCCACATCAAAGGTTCGGAAAGGTCGGCCTCCAAGACCATCTCCCAAGGAATAGTGGCAAAGCTCAACCTCATCTAAAACAAGCAAGATCTTGTCCAACCCGAAAAATGTTGCTTAAACAAAAAGAGGCTCGTTTTGTTTTTCGAAACTAGTCAAGACACAGAAACAAGAAGCTACTAGGAACAAAGGGCATCGCTACTAGGAGCAAGAAGCTAGGGGCTCCTGGCCTTACTACTAGTAACAAGAAGGCTACTAGCAACAATTGGCGCACCATCCGGCCGTTTCTGGGTGTCTCGGCCAGGTCCCTAAAATGCCCAGCTGGCCACAAACCTCACGACATCTCATGACAAAACACGAGGAAAACATAGGAAACTCCTGGAAACGCATAGGAAATAGTGAGTGTCTTTGAACTACAAATTGAAACGTTTGAAACAGGTCTGAGTCAACAATTGATTGCCTCTATTCTCATGTCTGTACAAAGTCCAACATGAAAGAACGACAGCCGTGCCAGCTGTGAAAGCCTCTAAGATCTGGACAAGAATCCAAAGTAAACTTCGGATCCCGTCGTGCCACCTGGTGCGGTCAACGGCACCAGCTCGACCTTCCGTCCGTAGGCAGTAACAAGAAACTAGTAGCTAAGGGAATTACTATACACTAGTAGCTACTAGTAACAGGAAACTACTAGGAGCAAAGGGAATCGCTACTAGGAGCAAAGGACGCTACTAGGGGCTCCTGGCATCGCTACGAACGTAACAAGGTTATCAACACAAGAACGCTCCATGGCCTCCAAGCTGCGTTCCGGTCCTCCGGTCCTTCCATGTCCTTCCCGCCTCTCTTTTTCTTGTTTCTAATGGCTTCTTGTTACTACTAGTAAGGCACTTGTTACTAGAAGCGATGCACTTGTTCCTAGTAGCTCTCCCCGCCTTTCTTTTTCCATGTTCAAGGCGAGGCCCATAGAGACCAGGAAGTAAGCCACGGTGAGAGAAAAACCCAGCCGCCAGCTCACCTCGCACGGTTCCATAGTCGAATTCCAAATTTCAGGGTTCTCTTCCGGTAGTAGGCAATGTCCCACGTACGACAATATTGTTCCGTTTGCTTCCAATATGTCACTCTTCATGTGTCTGTGACTGTGACAATATGTGTCCAACTCAAAATGTACAAACCATCGCTTTTTTCTGTTTTTAATCATTGCGAGCATCGATTGCTGTGGGGCATAGCTGGGCAGGTCTCTAAAAGGTTGAAGGTTTTCGTTTTTTTGTATTTTTCTGGTAGCGCTTTCACATAGTGGTTCCGTGGCAGGCATAGCATTTTGAGTACCGTCAATTGCTCATTTGAGGCCGCCCCCGAAGGGTGTCCTAATTTTCAAAGCGGGGGGGGGTAGACGCCCACCTCTACCTTCCCGCCCAGGGCCGGGGAGAGGGGAGGGGTGGTCACGACTACTACTACTTTTCGCAGTTCCCCACGGATCCTTCTTCAAGGTCCTCGTAGCGCAGGCAGGGGGGTGGCCACGACTACTACTATTTTTCCCAGTTTGAGGGGGAGGGGCCCACGACTACTACTATTTCCTCGTAGAATAGGATCAAGGCCGTCGTAGCACAGGATCCTTCTTTAAGGCCCTCGCAGCGCAGGATCTTTTTTTATGTCATGTAAGAAGGATTCGGCGAGAGGGTTTAAGGCCCTCGTAGCACAGGATCCTTCTTTAAGGCCCTCGTAGCGCAGGATCCTTCTTTAAGGCCGTCGTAGCGCAGGATCCTTCTTTAAGGCCGTCGTAGCGCAGGATCCTTCCTCAAGGCCCTCGTAGCGCAGGATCCTTCCAGCAGCAGCAAGCAGCAGCAGCAACCAGCAGCAGCAGCAGCAACCAGCAGCAGCAGCAGCAACCAGCAGCAACCAGCAGCAGCATGCAGCAGCAGCAGCAGCAGCAACCAGCAGCGCGGCTTTATGGCCTGTAAGAAGAATTCGACGAGATGCGGGGGGACTACTACTACTACTACTACTCCTACTACTTTTCCTAGTTCGAGGCGGGGGGGGCACGACTACTACTACTTTCTCGGGGGCGTCCTGGCTCATTTTGTGGCAGGCGGAGCATTTCGGCAGCCTCGAAGTGCAGATTTCGTGGCAGGCGCGGCGCTTCGGGAACCTCGAAGTGCCGATTTCGTGGCAGGCGCAGCACTTCGTGAACCTTTAAGCGCAGACCTCGTGGCAGGCGCAGCACTTTGTGAACCTGGAAGCGCACCTTTCGTGGCAAGTGCAGCACTTTGTGAACCTGGAAACCTTTTTGTGGCAGGAGCTGCATTTTTTCGAACCTCAAAGTGCAGATTACACTTCAGAGCTCACGCGTGAAAGAATGAAGCAATGCGAGGATCACAGCTGGAGCAAGGAAGCTAGGGGCAAGGACAAGGGGTGCCTTTTTTCGCGTCGGCTGGTTCACATCACTTTGGATAGGTGGTTCGAAGCGCAGCTATCCTCTCAACAGCTGGTAAGGGATCACACAAAAACAAAAACGGAAGCAACAATTATTCCAACCCATTGAGGATGGTTGGGGTTGAGCATCGGCTCAAAGCCTTCAACAGAAACATCGGACCAGGCAGACACAAAAGAACGAAAGGATAGAAATGCTGGGCATTGCTGAGGGGCGCGCTATATCAACCACCTCTGTGGCTTTGTCACAACTTTTGTAGTATGGAAGCTATAACTACTTGCAGCATTGTTATAGCATTCACTGCGCAGAGGTGTTGGAAGCTAAGGTCGGCCCTATCATCCACCTGTGTGGCATTGCCACACTGTTCAGAGCATAGAAGAATGGAGGGGACAGCCAGCCACCTCAAAGGACCGAAGACAAGGACTAACACGCCAACACTCCAAAAATGTGCCAAACAATGGCATGCGCAAGCCTCCAGGACCCCCCAAGCATATGGCCAATCAGGAACAGGCAGCAAAGACACTGACTTGAAAGCCTTCAAAAGTTAGATGGCTCAGTTTGGTTCCGCAAGTGCCCTGCGTGGAAGCGATCTACGTTGACAAAAAGGGAGCGCTTCACATCTGCTTCAAGATCAACAGGAGTAGACAATGAAAGGATATGTGCAACAAGTTCTTCAAAGAGACTTAGACGACGTGCAAGATGTGATCTGCAAACGCGATGGGCGACCCTTTATATAGTTAGTTTTCGTGGCAGGCGCAGTGCCAGAGTGCAGATTTTGTGGTGCTGGAGGGGGGTTGGGGGGAGGGCGCAGCGCCTCCCCAAAGCGAACCAAACGTTAAAAACACAGCACCACAAAAGAAATCACCAGAAACTAAATACCCTATCGCCCCCTCAGTGAAGGGCATCAAAAAGTGCACAAAAGGACCTAAGGCAACCGAAGCCAAAAGCATTGTACATTTGTAGGGAAACTGCGGCCAATAAGCTACAAGAGAAAGGACCAAAGGCATCAAAAAGCATCAGTGAAAGAACCAGAGGACCCGCAGACCACAAGGGCGAGGAGAGCAGCAGAAGAGGCCTATCAAGAAATATTTGTGTTGATCCTTTACAAGTATTTCTGTATTTCTATGTTGATCCTCTTTATATTTTTTGTGATGCTCTTTATTTTTTGTTGATCTAGATGCCCTCGGCAGCAGTCATGCCCTGGCAACATAGCAAGATGGTTGGAAAGATGATGAAAGGAAGAATCCGAGACATGCTCCAAAAGCCACCAAAAGCCAACACCCGCCAAAAGCCAGAAGCCGCCCAAAGCCAAAAGCCACCAAAAGCCAAAACCTGCCAAAAGCCAAAAAAAGCCAAAGCTAACAGAAAGCTATCAAACCACCAACGGTGAAAAAAATCTTAAAACCATGGCTGAACACCCGACCCTTGCGTAGTCGGTGCGTGAAGCGGTCGCTTATAGCACCCCTACCTATTTGCGATGCCCTTTGCTCCTAGTAGCAATGCCAGGAGCCCCTCGTAGCTTCCTTGCTCCTAGTAGTGATGGCCTCCAAAGGGCACGTTGCTGATCCTGAGACGTCATGCACCCACCGCCGCATCCTGCCTGTGTCGCCGCCAAGATCAATCCACAGCAAAGGAGATTGCCAAAAGCAAATGCGGCCCATGGGAGCAGCGACGCTACCAGCTTTCCCATGAATGCAATGGGAGGCCGCTCTTAGGGCCAATACGGACTTTAGAACGCTTGTGGCGCACAATCTCATACAAAACTTAAGGGCAAACCGTGCAAACCCAGAATAGCCTTCGTTCTTCACCGGACTGCGTGAGAACTCCAAACAGGAACTCAGAAGGCTAATACGGGCAGTATAAATTTGAGTAGCCACTTGTTCGAGGGCACAAACACTCCAAACATCGCAAACACAAGTGATTTAGGAACAAGTGCATCGCTTCTAGGAACAAGTGCCTTACTAGTAGTAACAAGAAGGTATTAGTAACAATTGCTACATGTCCTCTAGCACCATTCGCATGCTCGACTGCCTTGATGTCACAAATCCGACAAGTCTTGACGATGTCTCTAAGTCCAAAGTTCACAAATCGCCATTTCAACTAGCCTCCGGTTCACCACTGGGTTGGTGCAATGAGTCAGCAATGAGTGCGTTTTTTCACACGAGAGCCGGAGAGCCTCCATCTTTGATGGGCATGTGGGCAATCCGAGATGTCTGCATTCATTCAAAGTGTCATTCAATTTTGTTCAATATTGTTCAAGTGCCACGCTACTAGGAACAAGTGCCTTACTAGTAGGAACAATGTTCGCTACTACGGTGTTTCATCTCCTTCAGCCCAGTCGGTGCAACTTTTGAAGGATTGTGGACAATTCGACCTCATCTTCCAACGGGTTCCGAACCGAAACGGGTTCGCCGTAGATGTTTGGAAAGATGAAGCGAAGTTTGTGCAAGAAGGGTCTGTGGCAAGAAATCTTCGGATCGTGTGCAGGCCGATTCCTGGTGTACGCCTGATCTCCTACCAATGGCAAGCCAGCATGCTCGCAGTGAACTCGGATCTGATGTGTTCGTCCTGTGAGAAGTCGCAAATGCAAAAGTGCATAGCGGCATTGCTGCATAGAACCTCCAGATTTGCTTTGATAGACTGCAAGTTCTTCATAATGCGTCACGGATGGCAAGCCACGATGACTCACTTCACAACGTCTTGACCAATGGTAAGTCTCTTTGTCAATCGGTGCACAAATCACACCACGAGGTTTGTCTCTGTAAGGGAGTCTGGCATCTGCGAAACAACCATGAACTAGAGCCACGTAATCCCTGATGAAATGCTGCTTGTGCATACGATCCTTCGCAAAATTCCAGGCATCCTGGTTCTTTGCCATAAGCAAGCAGCCCGAAGTGCCAACATCCAATCTGTGAATCAAACCAAATAGCATTTCCGGGTTCATGACCTCGCTCATCTGAGGATCGGCACCGAAGCGCAAGAAGATATAATCCGGCAAAGCTGCAGGCTCCTTTTGATACAACAGGCTCTCGCACAAGCGCTTTCGATTACTCATGTCCATCTCCTGGCACACTCTTACGCACACGAAATGGAATTTACCGAACTCGGTGAAAAAGGTCATCCAAGACATTCGTGGACACTCCACTTAGGCCTTTAGGCCGCACTATGCACAAGCAATGGTCGGTCTGTACTGAAAATGGTTCGCAATAAATTATATGACCACGGATTTTTTCATTGTGGAGGATCATCATCTTCATAAGGGCCACAACTTTGGAAGTTCTTGTCCAAGAAATCAATGCTCTGCAAAGGTTTCATCTACAAGCAACAACGTATAAAGAAAAGGAAAAAACACTTAGAACAGCTGCCCTTTGCTTGTCGCCTCTCAGCATCTAATCACAGAAAGAATCACGCAAGAAACAGTTTTGTCTAAGAGATATTTTTTCCTAATAGGAGCCCTTGAATTATACAACAATGCAAGATGTGAGGAAGGAATCAAGGAGCAGGGAAACATAGAAGGAAATAGAAAAAGGAGTAGACAAATCAATTTACAGTAAGGGAGGCACTAAATAAAAGACATAAATGCAAACCACAAGTAAGGAAAGGTATCAGTAATTTAAACAAGATGGAACCCACGAACCCGAATGCAAACACGATCGAAAAACTAATATGTCCAAAGGACACTCTTGTAGGACACTCTTGTAGAACACTTGTGTGGGTCACTTGCAGGACACTCTTGTGGGACACTCTTACACGACACTCTTGTAGGACACTCTTGTGGGACACTCTTGTAGGACACTCTTGTAGGACACTCTTGTGGGACACTCTTGTCGGACACTCTTGTAGGACACCCTTGTGGTCTTGTGGGACACTCTGCACTCTTGTGGGACACTCTTGTAGGACAGTCTTGTGGGACACTCTTGTAGGACACTCTTGTGGGACACTCTTGTAGGACACTCTTGTGGGACACTCTTGTGAGACACTCTTGGGGGGCACTCTTGTGGGTCTCTTGTGGGTCACTCTTGTAGGAAACTCTTGTGGGACACTCTTGTAGGACACTCTTCTAGGACACTCTCGTGGGACACTCTTGTGGGACACTCTTGTGGGACACTCTTGTAGGACACTCTTCTAGGACACTCTTGTGGGACACTCTTGTGGGACACTCTTGTGTGACACTCTTGTAGGACACTCTTGTGGGACACTCTTGTGGACACTCTTGTGGGACACTCTTGTAGGACACTCTTGTGGGATACTTGTGTAGAACACTCTTAAGGGACACTCTTGTGAGACGCTCTAGTGGGACACTGTTGTGGGACAGTCTTGTACGACACTCTTGTGGGACACTCTTGTAAGACACTCTTGTGGGACACTCTTCTGGGACACTCTTGTAGGACACTCTTGTAGGACACTCTTGTGGGTCACTCTTGTGGGGCACTCTTGTAGGACACTCTTGTGGGACACTCTTCTGGGACACTCTTGTAGGACACTCTTGTAGGAAACTCTTGTGGGTCACTCTTGTAGGAAACTCCTGTGGAACACTCTTGTGGGACACTCTTGTAGGACACTCTTGTGGGACACTCTTGTGAGACACTCTTGTGGGACACTCTTGTGGGTCACTTGCAGGACACTCTTGTGGGACACTCTTAGGAAACTCTTGTGGGACACTCTTCTAGGACACTCTTGTGGGATACTCTTGTCGGACACTCTTAAGGGACACTCTTAAGGGACACTCTTGTGAGACACTCTTGAGCGACACTGTTGCGGGACACTCTTGTGGGACACTCTTGTGGCACACTCTTGTGAGACACTCTTGTAGAACACTCTTGTGGGAAACTCTTGTGGGACACTCTTGTGGGACACTCTTGTGGGACACTCTTATAGGACACCCTTGTGGGACACTCTTGTAGGATACTCTTGTGGGACACTCTTGTAGGACACTCTTGTGGGACACTCTTGTGGGACACTCTTGTAGGACACTCTTGTGGGATACACCTGTAGGACACTCTTAAGGGACACTCTTTTGAGACACTCTAGTGGGACACGGTTGCAAGACACTCTTGTGGGACTCTCTTCCAGCTTTTGAGATACTCCGCGTACTAAAGTTGTACTGCAAGGTCGCCAGTTCTCAGCTTCCAGCTCCCCAGATACTCCGCGTACTAAAGTTGTACTACAAGGTCGCCAGTTCTCAGCTTCCAGCTCCCCAGATACTCCACGTACTACAGTTGTACTACAAGGTCGCCAGTTCTCAGCTTCCAGCTCCACCGGACAAATCGCACTCTCGCCTGCATTTCGCGCACTCAACACGCACGATCTCCGCAGAGGGTTGCGCGCGCATGGGACAAATCGCACTCTCGCCTGCATTTGGTGCACTCGACACGCACGATCTCCGCAGAGGGTTGCGCGTCAAGTCTCCAAAACGAGCGTTTCGTACGAGACTTCCTCAAAAACTCACACGTCAAAGTCTGCAAAACGAGCGTTTCGTACGAGACTTCCTCCAAAAGTCAAGCGGAAACACCCATCGGAGCCTAAGGGCAATGGCCTCCAACCTAAGGGCAATGGCCTCCAACCTAA